TAAGAGTTATGCCGTGTGGTGTGCGGCGGAGTAGAATACCACCACCCCATATCTACCTGTGGGTGTCGTAGAAGGCGACTAAGGGAGTGTGGAAAAGGACCGAACCCCTGTACCTTTTTCACTGATATACCTACTGTTCCATCTGTCCGAGTCCCTATCCGGTCGTAACGGTCTCCGTTCCACTGGGTCCAGAGGGGCAAAGACGAGTATGTGCACCTGTGTCCGCGCGTACACTTGTGCACGTTAATATGTCCTGCGCAATTGACCTGCTTCCAAATAGGACTCCGATCTATAACCAATGTCCTACGGCGATGGGAGGAGGTAGAGAGGCTTGACGTGATGCCCGTTGAGTTTTGTCTGACTCCTGCACGTAGGCGGTCTTGGGGGTGTAGTGTACATCGTGGTCGCTTCTGCTCTGCAACGGGGTGACAGAGCGGACTCGGCAGCACCCAAGGTGACAAAGCAGCCCTATTCAGGGAGGCACTGCTTTCCTCGCTCAGACAGGGAGGGGGCTAGAAAAGGTGCCCTAAACAAATGCTCACTCCAACCCCTTTAGGATGGTAGCAACCGCGGCTGCCTCCGCATCATAAATTCGCGGTCGGCGATACAGGAAAAATAATGGAAAATTTAATTTATCAAAATCAATGACATTTGGCGCGTGGAATGTGCGCACACTTCTTGACCGCGAAGCAAATGCCTGCCCTGAGCGAAAAACTGCCATTGTAGCTCGGGAACTAAGTCGCTATAATATTGATGTGGCTGCACTCAGCGAAACACACCTCCCCGAGGAAGGAGAGCTGGTAGAATATGGCGGCGGGTATACTTTCTTTTGAAAAGGACTCGCTTCCTCGGAGCCGCGAAGGTCTGGTGTAGGCTTTGCTGTCAAGAACTACCTTGCTGCTCAACTGCAAGAGTATCCTGTACACATCTCGGACCGCATTACCACATTGCGCCTTCACATGGAACGTGAAAGCTATCTTAATATCATCAGTGTCTATGCCCCTACGCTGGACAAGTCTGATGATATTAAGGATAAATTCTACGAAGAATTGACGCGGTGCGTAAATCGTATTCGTCCAAGAGAGCAAATCCTTCTCATGGGTGACTTTAACGCCCGAGTAGGACGAGACTATGACGCCTGGCCTAAAGTTCTCGGCAGACATGGTGTTGGTAAAATGAACAGCAGCGGCCAATTGTTGCTTAGTCTTTGTGCACAATTGGATCTTGCAATTACAAATACTATGTTCAGACTGCCTGCCAAGTACAAGGCAACGTGGATGCACCCCAGATCGAAACATTGGCACCTTATCGATTACGCCATCGTGCGTCAAAAAGACATATCTCAAGTCCAAGTCACCCGTGTCATGCGTGGTGCTCATTGTTGGACTGATCACCGGCTTGTTATTATTAAATTAAATCTTCGTCTTCCACCTCCTTGTAGAGTGGGAAGATCTAAACAGATACGTCTGAACCTCGAACGACTCCAAGATACTAACACGAAGGCTAAATATGCCGAAACCTTGAACACTGCTCTGCAGCCCCTCGATCTAAAATTAGGTGAGATCGATGTTGTCTGGGAGTCTCTATCTTCTTGTGTTCTCGACACTGCTAAATCTACTTTGGGTTTGAGAGTTCGAAAACATGAGGACTGGTTTGATGAGAATGATGGGATACTTACAGGCGCTATTGATAAACACCGTAGGCTCCTAAAGCAGCACAGTAGAACTCATCAGAGTGGAGGTGCTATGGAGTTGCGTCAAAGTGATCTGGAGCTGCGTAAACTCGCACGACAAGCGAAAGACAAGTGGTGGCAGGAGAAGGCTCGTCAGATGCAGTGGCTCGCTGATACCAACCAGCTCGGTGAGTTTTATGCTGAGGTGCGACATCTACTCGGTACGTCCTCTATGGCAAAAGTTCCACTGAAGTCAACTAGTGGTGGAGCGCTTTTTAAAAGCAGGGAGGAAATACTCGGGCGATGGGCGGAGCATTTTAACACCCTACTTAACGTGGATCATTTTGTTGACCTAGACCACGTTCGCTGCCTACCTCAACAACCTTTCGCCCTCGAGCTAGATGAGCCAATCTCGCCTGGCGAGGTTGCTCTTGCCATTAAGCAACAGCAAAATAAACGCGCGGTTGGTGTTGATTTTATACCGGGTGAATTATTGAAGTATGGCGGTGGGGATTTGTATTCAGCGTTATGGAAACTTTTTGTCATTATGTGGGAAAAAGAACAAGTCCCTAATACTTTTAAGGTATCCCTCATACGAGCCCTATATAAAGGCAAGGGTGACCGGTCAAACTGCAATTCTTACCGTGGCATTAAAGTAGAGAACTTTCAGTGCCTGGAAAAGTCTTCGCCAGACTTCTTTTAAACCGCCTCAGGAAACTTTCTGAAAGGATTTTGCCGGAATCCCAGTTCGGCTTCCGACCTGATCGTGGTACCTGTGAGGCGATTTTCTCATTACGTCAACTACAGGAAAAAAGCAGAGAACAGGGTCGTAATATGTATCTCTGTTTTGTAGACCTTGAGAAGGCATTCGATAGTGTACCACGTGAAGCCCTCTGGATAGTGCTGCGGAAAATTGGATGCACGGAGAAGTTTGTGAGACTTCTGAGACTCCTGCATGATGGCATGCAGAGCTGCGTCGCTGTAAACGCTGATCAGTCAGAATTTTTTCCCGTTACCTGTGGAGTAAAACAAGGGTGTGTCCTTGCACCCACACTTTTCGCGTTATACTTTGCAGTTGTAGTCCAGGAAGTCTTAAAAACTACCCATGATGGAATTCGCATTCGTTTCCGCAACGATGGCAATCTTTTCAGCTTAGCTAGACTTAAGGCCCGTACGAAAGTGTCTTACGCACTTATTACAGAGATCGTCTACGCAGACGATTTATGTTTTGTGGCCGATTCCCCAGCTGGCCTGCAACAGCTTGTGACCACCTTTCATGAGTCGTGCCGTATTTTTGGTCTGAAGATAAGTGTTAAAAAGACGGAAGTGATGTCTTTAGATATCTACGGTCAAGAGACACTGGCCGTCAAACTCGGTGATGATATACTTAAGCAGATCAATACATTTCGTTATCTGGGGAGCACGATAACATCAAAGTGTGACCTTGATGCTGAAATCAACAGTCGAATCGGTGCCGCGGCTGCGGTATTCGGTAAACTGGATCGCAAGGTCTTTGGCTCACATGACCTAAAGCTGGCTACCAAAATTGGTATTTATAAGGCGGTAGTGCTGCCTAACATACTGTACTCTTCAGAGTCATGGACAGTTTACCGCCGTCATATACGGACGCTGGATCGCTTCCACTTGCAATGTCTGCGCAAAATTCTCAACATCCGTTGGTCTGATCGCATTCGGAATACGGAAGTGCTGCGTAGAGCCTATACCATGGGGATTGAAGCCTACCTTATGGGGCGACAAGTCCGTTGGTGTGGACACTTATCGCGAATGTCAGATCAGCGTACGGCTAAGTGCATCTTTTTCTCTGAACTTGAGAAGGGCAAGCGTAAGCATGGCGGACAACTTCTCAGGTACAAAGATGTACTTAAGCGCCACATGACGAAGTGCGACATTGAGCCTTCAGAGTGGGAGCAAGCAGCCGCTCGACGACCGGAGTGGAGATCTTTGGTGAAAGCCAAGGTCAAAATGTTTGAGGAGAATCGATGGTCTGAATTGGACGCCCGACGTGATGAACTCAAAGCACGCCCACCTTGTGCGATTAACTATAATTTCTGTAATGGTGTGCTCACCTGCCCGCATTGCACGCGAACATTTGTAAATAAGATCGGCTACGTTAGCCATGCACGAGCACACCAACGACAAGATCGGAGCTGAAGAGGTCGCCGTGGCCGAAATCGATCGAGGAGATTATTATTATTATTATTATTAAGAGTTATATACGAGTTCATAGTTATCTATTAACAATTACGAGTTAAAAGGTAGTGCTAACATATTATATAACGTATACACACATGCACTGAGACTAAACCTAGGTAACAGGTGTGTTATATTAATATATATTTAAATAATACCTACTTATATACTTATACATACAATATTAAGATGATATTTGACTATTCTGACTATTCTATGGGGACGACAACTTTTACTTTTTTCATAAAATTAGATAATTCAATATTCTGAGTCAAAGAGACACGCCATGTTACGAGACCTGCTGTGGATTTTTAAAGCAAAAAAAAAGGAATAAGATTGAAACTAATAAATAATCATTCATGAAATACATAACAGAAACACATTAATAATCAATAATTATTATTTGTTCTCTTTTGTTTTGTGTGAGAAAAACTTAATTACCTAATTCTCAACTTAATGAAGCCTCAAAATGCTTGTTGTGATGTTAATTTAATATGGCAGTTCAGGTAAAAGCTTGGCATCGGCATTACCATATAATTTTGTGTGGTCAAGAAGTTGTTACAGTCAAAACTCATAACCGGTCAAAACCACTTTAGACTGTAAAAAATCAGTCAAAAGTAGTTTTGACTACAGACGTTTGTCAATACCACTTATGTAGTTTTGACTAAGGCCGTTGGTCAAATCCAGTTTTAAATGCAAAAATATTGGGTAATAGTGATTTTAAGGTTAAAAGTTGTTTTGGCCAACAATGTTATTCAAAACTTCTTTTGAATTTCTGAAATTAAAAACTTTAATTTCCCCAATATTATATTTTATATCATTATAATGTAAGCGGGCTTTAGAGTGGCCCAAGGACTATCCCAGCCGCACCTTAACCTACTGTTACTGATATTGCGAGTTTTGACCGATAGTCTGAAGTTTAAATCAGACAACACCACTTTTTACTAAGAACTTTGGTTAAAACCACTTTTAACTACAAAATCAGCCAAAACAGTTTTTGACTCAGGGCATTGGTCAAAACCGTTTTTGCCTGATTTTGACAGTCAAAAGTGGTTTTGACCGGTTATGTGTTTTGACTGTGACAGAGTGTTCTAGAAGTAAATTTATTTTGACTTACCATCAACATATGGCACCCAAGTATAAAAGCGTCCGCGGAAAGGTCTGCGGTCGTACACTGCACACTGGTCCGCCCGAGAGTCACGACGTGGACCGGGACACGGCTGCGTATGTAACAACAGGAATAATTATAGCACACATACATTCATAAATTCTCATGTCAGTCTCCCAAAAGGGTAGGCAGAGATTGTGTACTTTAATTTGGTAAGGTCCTGTCACACCTTTCCCACTTCTTCCAAATCCATATATCTACACATATTATAGTCTATTCGAAAGATAGTGTCGGTACACCTGGAGGCGCATTTGTTATTTTGCTTTTATTTTATAAACACAAGTTAGGTAGCAAAGAAAATTTAAATGAAAAATATGAGTAGATAGGTAAACATAAACGAAAGTTAAAAAGACACTATTCTTCATTACTCGGATATATATTCTATTATAAGGCATTCGACGTCATCACGTTCTAAATTCATACTAAAATAGTATTTTTGTTATTAGTTTACTCAAAATTTTATCTTGAGGCACTCCACTGTTTTCCCAAGGACGAAAAAACATTTTCTGTATACGTAGCAGAGTTTACAAAAACAACCTTTCACTACGGCGCGGCGTTTCGTTTGAAAATGCCAAATTTTCCTGCGGGTGTACGCCTGTCATTTGATATCATGGCGGCGCCTTTGACAAGATGCAGTACGTGTTGAGGCGGCTTGGTACAAAAGCGACCATATCTAAGTGAATAGACTATAAAAACTCGGCGGTTAATTTGGCCCATCTTCAGTATATTGCCAATTTGGTAATTAGTGAAATGTGTTAGGTTTTACCTAAATTTAAGTTCGATTACGAAGATAAATATTACATAATTTTCGCTAATTAATTTTTGACATCTTTATTCCTATGCAAATCGCTCCTCTTCAATTTAACCACAGGAAAATTCACCCAAAAATGTCATTCAGAAACAGTATTTTGAGTACTATTGCCGGAGTTTAAATCTTCTTTAAGTGTTAGACTAAGGTACGTGAGGGTAATATGATTAACTTAAGCTTGTTTTTAAGCTTCTTTGTGCTGTGTTTTGATTCTTTATAGGGCTGCAAAAACCAAAACTAGGAGGAGGACTGAGACATAAAAAAGTCGTATATTATTACTAATATATTAAGAAAAAATAGCAAACAAGTTTGGGAATAATTAGGAACATTTCGAAAAACCAACTTAAAAAAAAACAAACTTACACTAATCACTAAACAATACTAAAATCGACTAAAATATTTACCAAAACTTCAACTGTCAAAATGACGTCGATAAAGGAGCGCCCTTTCAACCCTTTGTTATTTGATTGACTGATGAAGAGCTATCGTATTACAGAGCCATCTATGCAAATAATGTTGTAGCTTTTGAGTTATAAGAAAGTGACGATACGAGTATTAACCGAATTACAATACCCTGACGTTCTATAATCTGCTTGACGTGGTGATTATGATCGACTATTTCAAAAGTGCATGTCTGTCTACTGGCGTAATTACGGAAACGGTCGGCTGTGGGTTTAAAAATACCTTTCTTAATCAATAATTTTATTGTACGAACACATTCTAAGTAAAAGCAATAATTAAATATGTAAAATTCCTATATTATACGAGTAAATACACAATTTTACGTGTACACTTCGAATGTGGATAGTATGATAGAATTTAACGACACATTTATTTGAATAGAGACCGTTATTTATATGGTAACTAGTCTAATGAATCGGTTGGTATGCTGTGAATTTAAATTGGTCATTCTAATTAATTACCATTCTTGATTTTGCGAGCGCCTTCAAGTGAGGCGTATTATTTGAGATCACAAATTAAAGAAATCATAAATATTATGTTAGAAGTATTAGTTAAAATCATCAATATTATGTGAGTATTCATACTAAGGCTAATAAATTAATAATATATATACAACTCTTCTTTAAATTTCATAGTTCTCGAGTAAACGACTTCGAATTTCGCTGTACCGCTGCAATTGTAATTTGCAATTAGAAGTACTGATTTACCACGTATTTAGTGATATAATAAAATGAAACAAACCTGAATATCTGAGAAAATTATCATAATATATTGCGGAGATGTGACGACACCTGCCAACACGAATATGAGGCTGCGTGAAGGGCTCATCCTTGCCCTATATAAGAAAGCATAAATATGCAGAAATAACAAGATGCCTGTATTCAGCAGATATGGTGTACTCAGGTTTGTGGTGTAACCTACTTGTACGTTTTTTACTTTACTTTTATTGGAGTAATACTTTTAAAATCCCTTTTTAAACATTTCGTGTTAGTAAATATGTATAGAATAAGCCAATTCTGAAAGTATAATTGGAATAAGTATTATAGGACTGTAAAAGTGAACAAAACTCTACAGCCCTGTTGTGGTTGCAGCACGAATGAGTCGGCCCGAACGGGGGAAGGATCACGCTCCCACAGAATACCAGCATCAAATAGAAGATTAATGTTGCTGTGTTTCGTATAGTGAGTTTAGGGAACCGAAGACCCTTTTTACTGGATACGAGGCATTCCATCTCAGTCCTCAGGGGGTTGGGTAGTCATCTGCATATTGATTCTTAATCGAGAATAAATTTAGATTTCTATGGGTCACAGTATCCATTTACCGTCAGGTGAACTGTGTGCTAGTTTGTGACCCTTACTCTATAAAAATATCCGGCCAAGTGCAAGTCGGACTCGAGCATGAAGGGTACCGTACCATCGTAAAACACGTTTCTAGTAAGGGGGGGGGGGGGGGGGCTTTAATTTTTAATTTATTTTTATTTTAGTTAGTTGTTATAGCGGCAACAGAAATACACATTCTGTGAAAATTTGAACTGTCTACCTTTTACCGATCATGAGGTACATCCCGCTGACTGACGGACGGACGGACGGATATCTAAGTTCTTCGTTCCCGCAAGTTTGCGTGAGGTCTATACCTTTTGTTAGGAGTTAGTCACGAGTAGTAATGGCAGTAGATATCATGTAATTCTTACCGCAGTATTACACTCGTGGTAGCGGCGCCCGAGGCCGGGACAGTCGGGTTCGGAGCGTGTTATTATGTTCCTTGCTCGGCGGGTGTGATCCACACTCCTCGTCAACTTTCTTCTCTTTCTACTGCGACGCCATCTGAAAAGTTAACGGATTTGTTTAACGCTCTTTATATTTTTATGCTATTTACTTTGGCGAAAAAATGTTAAAGAAAATAAATTCTGTAATAGTTATTCGATTTTTATTTTTTTTTTGTTTTGGTTACTGCGGCCAGTCTAAACGGAGACTAGTCATCTGAGCGGGACAGTATTATGGTACGTGTGTGAGCAATCACAGGTGCACTGCAATTCGACACGACCAGAGTGAAACTTGGTACAGCGCGAACGGTTTTACATACATCGAGGCACGGGGATGAAACACTGGCAACTTCCTGACTCCAAGCAGCTACTGAGAATGTCTTGATAGATGAGATTACAAGGCCTAACCCGGGATTCGAACCCGGGGCGACTAGATCAACCAGCAGTCATTTTAGAATGCATATTTATACGGTTACAAGGCACACACCTCCTCTCATTTCTGAGAGGGTATCGGAAAAGAGAGGGTTACACCTCAATGCCTTAATGTGTGTTCGCCAATTGCACATGTCCTGGAAATATTTAAAATTCTCAAACATGCAAGTTTTCCTCACGAAGGTTTCCTTCATCTAAGAGCATATAAATCAGTACTTATAATTGTAATTGAAATATTCATCGGTGCTTCTATCGATCTCTCTTTGTATGCCGTTTATGATAAAATATAACACGGAACTTATTCCTAGATCCTAATCCCAAACTGTTTGAAAAAAATTGCAGTTTTAGATAATTTGCTACATAATATCTACATTTTCTTTTGCCTAAAACTTTACAATCATACTATTTTCTGTACATGGGGGTGTTTAACATAATCATGTAAATACTTATAGAACATGGACAATTATCCAGACCCGGAACAATTATTTAGAGGTCATAAATGTTGTCCTTGACGGGAGTTGAACCCGCAGCCCAAAGTGCTGCGGCCAAAGGCTGTGCCGATCAAATATAAATATATAAATCGAAAATTGTAAAGAAATACTTTCAATAAATAGTACTTATAAAAAGTCATTCTTCTTTTTAATTTACCACTAGTTCGGAAAATACCTCTGTCTTGCGCGAGGTATTTTTTAAAGACTACAATAATTATGTTTTTATGTTTAAACAATTAACTATACAAATTGAATTAGAAATCTTTCCTATTATCATCTATAAATTCCTTAATATTTAATAACACTTTTTATACAATCTTTGTTCAATACAGTTTTTGAACTTGACAGACTTGACAAATTATGTTCATTTTCTGGGATTTTGTTATAAAAGCGTAAATGACTTACTGACTCTGTAGAGTCGAGTAACTGGTGCTAACTTGTGTTAGTAGTACCAGTTACTCGACTAGCGGTTCCTAGTATTTACAGACTATTTTTTATACTCGTACATACATTTATTTAAAAGAGTTATCTTAATTATTGTTTTATTTTAATAACTATAATTGGATTTACTTTCCAAATAGAGTTATGAAGTGTCAGAATCATTCTATATGGGATAAATAATATTAAATTTAAACTAGAAAATCAAACTTAATTTTGATACACAAAGGCAATACTTGTTTAAATATAATGCTAACTGCTGGCAGATTTTACGCATAAAGCGGCTCAGTCTTTGTGAGCCCGTCGGACGCTTTTATTGAGTCGTTAATTGTGATTTTCGTAATAAATTTGACACACGAATAACAACATTAACACATAATAACTTGATTTATGTGTGATCATTTCGAGATAAGAAGATTTTGATCTTAATGTGACATAACTAGTTTAAACGAATGTCGCTAGCTTTTTGGACCGGTTTTGTTTATGAAATTGCTTCTCGGGGTACATATATGAAAATGTTAATTAAACTTTTATATTTTGAATTTCTATTCAAGTAACATATAAAAAACAAAATACTAGCTTATTAAACACTCACACTAACACTCACTAATAATATTATGCTGTCTTATAGAATTACGTAGTGTAGTGGTGGCATATGAGGATACATTACCCCATAACTATCATACCGTGCTGCGTGACAGAAAGACAATCGAACAAACACACTTTCCTATTCATAATGTTAATAGGGATTATATGCTCTGATGTTTCCAATACACTAAGTAATACTAAGAGTTTCACATATTATAAAGATTGAGGATTATAGATATAGGTCCTAATACTGTCGAAGAAATTAAACCAAAGAATCGTTCCTTAGAAGTATCTTATCAGAGCCTATCTGGAAGACGGCATGTGGTCGTCCCAAATATAGCTGGATGATTGAAAAAAATATGAGTTGTCCTGCAAAATATAATTTTTAATAACAAGGCACACAACATTATATTTTTTGAATACTGTACTTAGATATTTATTGTGTAAATTATTCACAAATATCTTTATATATAAAAATTACGTGTCACATTGATTGTCCGCGATGTACTCCTAAACTACTGAACTGATTTCAATGAAATTTTTTCCAAGAAGTTTGATCCAACTTGAGGGGTAGGATAGTTTTTATCCCGATAAGTGACCCCCAATATTTTTTTATTGCGAATTTAAGAATTTTTTATAGGAAGGGTCTTCGGAAAGGGCAGAACAACGTCTGCCTGGCCAGCTAGTATATATATAATTTTCAAATCAACGAGTTTCGAAAACGCGTGTCATGCTAAACATGTGATTGTAATGTGTTGTTAACAACCAAGGGGATCCAACAGCACGGTCAACGTACGTTTCAATCGCCTTTTCGATTCTTCTTGTGGTTGAAGCCCGATTTCACTATGCCACTGGCGCTCGATCAGCACGGTAGTGGCGGGTTGATTGCCTCTTGTTGTTCGGTTATTTCGTGTAGCGGCCGATTGTGCTTTCTGACCTGCACCTCGGTGTGCCTTACAGACGTTTTGTGGCTATGAATGTCTAACCTTATCATATATAAGGCCACCCCAAAGTAGCATGGACATATTAATACGATGCGACTAGGGTTGCTACGTTTAAGAAGAAAAATTTTGTTGCTTACAGAGAGATGAAGAAATACAATTCATAAGTTGAACATACTCCCAACGTGGTAGAGTCATGCTGCAGCTATATTAGTAGTATAGTTGTAGTACGAAGGGTTGGCTCGACCGGGGAAGGACTACGCTCTTACAGAATACCAGCGTAAAATAGCAGCTTAACGCTGCTGTGTTTCGTATGGTGAGTGTAGAGAATCGGAGACCCTTTTTACTGCAAATGAGGCATTCCATTTTAGTCCTCACGGGTGACAACGCATCTGCATTTTGATTTGTATTAGAGGATAGATGTAGATGTCTATGGGCCGCAGCAACCACTTACCATCAGGTGGACTGTGTGCTCGTTTGTCACCCTTATCCTATAAAAAAAACATACTTGAAATAAGCAGTTGATAAAATTTAATAGTATTTAGTTCTAATTTATATGCTTGTAGTATTAGGTACTAAATATTTAATAATTGTTTTTCAAATGCTATTCATATTAGGTAGTTTTACTTTGATATAAAATTTTACACGGTGAAAGTGAAACTAAAATAAAAATTAAGAATTAATGATGCAATATTTAGCAAGAAATAATGATAATAAAAAAAATATTTTTACAATCTAAATATATATATATTTTACAATCTAATATATAGACTACTAAATATCAAAATTTTTCACTATCAAAAGCTACGTATATTTAGCTTATTTTATTTTGTTATTTAGAGGCCAATTCTGGCTTACAAATTTTAAGAAAAAGATCAGTAAATATATAAGAGAGTTGTTATAATAATAATTTTTTGATTTCAGGCATAATACTCATTTATAAAGGAAAATATTTCTGCTGCGTCGTTGTCAACTGTCAAAGCATAACGACTACATACAATTTTTATCAATATGGAATAAATCCAGGGAAGTAATGTGATAATATTTTATTAATAGAGTAAAGTGCTTTTATTTAGGCTATAAATGATTGTGTTTCAGGGAAAGATGCGGGGTACAGCTACAATTAAATACGAAGCTATATAATACGAGTATAAAGACTTTTGAGTGTTGTAGAGAGTTGTTTAGATTTTTTTATGAATATCTCTGCTCCACTACATTCACAGCCGGATTTCCTACAGTGTCAAAATTGTGCCGACGGTAGGCTGTTTAATGGTAAAAGGGAATTAAATATACATAATAAACAATGCCGTGTAGTGGCGGTCAAGAATATCCACTACCCCATATCCTCCCGTGGGTGTCGTAAAAGGCGACAAAGGGAAACAGGCAGGATATAGGCAGCAGCATCTTCTTGATAACAACAAAATAACAATAAAAAAACTGCGGTTGCCAACCCGCTCGCCAAGCGTGGCAACTATGGCAAATACCCCCCTATAAATGACAGTAACAAAGAAACGGCCCCCAGTCCCCGGCGGCCCCGCTATTCCTGGCTACGGTGGCGACCATGGTAACGGCGGGGCAGGGGGTGCTAAGAATCTCCGGTGGAGGTTCGGTTGCCACCTTAGACGACTCGACCTGGCAACGTACAACGCACGCACCCTGAGGACTGACGAGAAGATTGTGGAGCTGGAAGAAGAGATAGACAAGTTGCGCTGGCATATTATAGGATTATCCGAAGTCCGAAGAGAGGGGGAGGACACGGTAATCCTCGAATCCGGCAACTTGCTCTATCACCGGGAGGGCGACCATCTGTCCCAGGAGGTGTCGGATTTATCGTCCACAAGTCTCTCGTTAACAACGTTGTAAAGATCGGGAGTGTGTCGACGAGGGTTGCGTACCTTATACTCAGAATCACCAAACGGTATTCGCTGGTCATACAGGTTTACACACCAACCTCGGCACACCCCGATGAGGAGGTGGAGGAAATGTATGAGGATATCTCTAGAGCCATGCATTCCTCCAAAACCCAATATACGGTGTTAATGGGAGACTTCAACGCCAAACTAGGCACAAGAGAGAACGGTGAGCTGAAAGTAGGGAAATTTGGAATAGGGCAATGGAACCCAAGGGGCCAGCAGCTGGCCGACTTCATGGAGAAAGAGGGACTCTTTATG